ATAAACAAAAACAGAACCCATAGAAAAAACCAACTCTCTCTCTCTCTCTCTCTGTCTGTCTCTCTCTCTCTCTCTCTCTCTCTCCCCCCCCCACCCACACACACACACACACTTTGACACAACACTTGTAGCACCCTTACGAATCCCCCCCTCCCCAACACACACATTTAAAGTTAGAAAAGAAAAAAAAGACAATTCCCCTCTTTGAGATAATTAGATCAGACGGGCTCAGCAGAAAAAGCATGTCCTTTATTTGGTGCAAGAGCATACACAGGAGACGAAATACAACTCTGTCTGCTTTAACTTCCTCCAAAAGTAGATCCTAATTTTTCTTCCATTAAGCAGACAAGCAAGTACAGGTTAGGGGTTAATGTTCAAGTTTTAATTCCGCTGACGAGAGACGAGGTTGTTTTTTGAAACCGTCAGTCAGTTCCTAGAGCAAACCTTCTAAGCATTAAGTTGAAATGCTGAGAAAGCAGTTTGGTCTTTCGAAAAGATTACTAAGTACAAACGCAAAAAGATTATGTTGCAAAATGGAGCCTGTCACAGATAAAGGATCCACGTAGCATGTGGAAAGATACTCTTTAGATAATGAGCATCAAGCTACAGACTTGAGTACATGCCCTAAGGAAAATTTACGGACACAACTCACACACAAACTCAGAGCTAGCCTTATCCAAGGGAAGGCCAAGATGCCACGAGATTACCGTTAAGGTTCATCGGTTCTTTTGATATGTTTTTCTTGAACATGCTTTGGCGTAAACTTTTATAGCAAAGAGGGCAAATGAGGGCCTTCTACTTCCAAATCTAGATTGTGCCATTTACTGTCAAGGCGATTTTGGTACTGTCAATGTCTTAACGGTGTTATCTCCTGGCAATGTCAGTATGATACCAGCTACTGTCAGTGACTTAACGATGTTATATACTTCAATGTCATGGTTGTGCCATCTACTCTGTCAATGTTGTAATGATGGTTACTGCTGTCAGTAGCTTAATAATACCATCTACTGTCAATGTCCAGATGATACCATCTACTGTCAATGTCCAGATGATACCACGTGATACCATCTACTGTCAATATTCACGTTATAACATCTACTGTCAAAGTCCAAATGATACCATCTACTGTCAATGCCCACTTTATAACATATTATACTGTCAATGTCCATGTGATACCATCTACTGACAATCTCTTAATAAGATGTCATCTACCATTGTCAATGTCATTTTCTGTCAATGTCAGGATGAGTGTAGTCTATATCTTGACCTCTGAGGGATATTGGTTAGGCTCAAGGTCACGACATCGTAGTCTAATGTTAAGGTTGCCGTCGCGCATGATGCTGCTGTTCCGTTATTGACAAACACGGGTGCCCGTGGTGGGGGAGGGGGGGGGGAGAACTGGAGAACTCGTCCATCAATGCAGACACCATGCATGGAAATACGTTCTAGCGCTGAAAGATATTATTATGTCGCGGCGCGAAAGAGTGCCAACTCTGCACATAGCCCAGTTTCACATTTCACCAAGGACAATAAAGCGGAGGAAAGTATCACGCCTCACCGAGCGAGCTTCGCTTATTTACCGAGCTGCTTCGTCTGACGGGGTGCACAATAGAGGTGGGCAAAATCCGGATAAAGTGTCCGGATAACCGGATAATTCTCAATGAAACAGTATCCGAATTCAGACTCTTAACTCTCTTGCCTGACCCGTTTGCCGAAGTGGGTGCACCCATTTGTTGAAGTAGTGCTAACCAGTTTGTGGAAGTGGTTCTTTTAACCCATTTGCTGAAGCGGTTCATGTCATAATATTTGCCGAAGAGGTGTACTAACATATTAGCCGGATTTTGCTAAAGCGACTCATTGCCCAGCCCTAGTGCGCAAGGCCAAATTGCCAACGTAAACAGAAGTAATCCCGTATTACTTTGCGCCGATCCGTTGTGCGGGATGGGAATCCCGGAAACCAAGAACCAAGAACCGAAACAAAAATGAAGTTTATTTTTTTCACAGTTTGGGATTTCTTTTGATACAGTCGGAAGGAGTTTTGTAGGGAAAGTTAATAGCTTTGAGCATGT